CGTCGAGACAGTTGTTATTTCTGCAGAAACTGCAGATGGCCGTCCCGTACCCGGCGATGTAGAGACTCCGGATGAAGAAGTGCGTAATATTCTTTTCTTTTCTATACAGTCGTTTGTTATCTGCTCTGATAATGATTATTTAAATTATTTTTGCTACTATAGGGAAAGGTTAATTACGTAGTAGAAAACTGGCCACCGGCCATAAGAACTGTAACGGTGAACCTTACAACGACTGGTGGGTTGGCGCCAGAGGTGAAGATTGACGAGCTGCAGGTATGGACCTGCGGAGAGGTTCGAAAAATTACGACAGCTCCATTTACCGCCGTTCCCACTGGCTCGACCGGGCCAGTCGTGGAAACGACGACGCCGCCAGTGCCAGAATCAACGACAGCCGGCACTCAAGCAACGCAACCAGGACAAACGACAACGGGTCCCATTGAAACGACAACCCCAAGTCAGTCAGTTGGACCTATTAAAGAGCAGGAGAAAAGTTAGTTATCTTGTTTAGTCTTCTGTGAACAAAAAAATATAACGCCTAAATTTTGTTATAAAGCAACTGCTGCGCCTGGCACCACTCCTCCGAGTCTCGGCGGCACAACGAAAACCGTTCCATCAGCCACGGTCAGCAAGTGCCGAGTCAGCGACATCATCGACAGCTACGATTCGTCTGTTGCATCGCATCCAGGAAATCCGATCGAAGATAAATCAACGTTCGTTATACCGCANAGCATCGAACCCTCTTTCGTGGTATCATTTGGAGAAGCAGGAAAGACGGTAATGAGAGTCGAATTTATGGTAGAACCAAAAGTCGTCGAGAAAGTTGTTATTTCTGCAGAAACTGCAGATGGCCGTCCCGTACCCGGCGATGTAGAGACTCCGGATGAAGAAGTGCGTAATATTCTTTTCTTTTCTATACAGTCGTTTGTTATCTGCTCTGATAATGATTATTTAAATTATTTTTGCTACTATAGGGAAAGGTTAATTACGTAGTAGAAAACTGGCCACCGGC